TTTTCCAGGTACTGCTGGGAGATCATAGAATCAGTTAGGTCAGAAAAGACCTTTAAGATCATCCAGTCCAACCATTAACCTAACACTGCCAAGTCCACCACTAAACCAATTAAGGGGAGAGTAGTAATTTCATGTTTCCTGGTTTGGGGGCTGGATTATTTTTTAATGAAAGTAAAAGTAGGAATCACAGAACGCTTTGGGTGGGAAGGGACCTTTAGAGCTCCCCCAGCCCAGCCCCTGCAGTGCCAGGGACAGCTTTAACCAGCCCAGGGTGCTCAGAGCCCCGTCCAGCCTGGCCTGGGATGGTGCCAGGGATGGGGCCTCCACCGCCTCTCTGGGCAACCTGTGCCAGCGCCTCACCACCCTCACTGTAAAACATTTCTTCCCTATATCCAGTCTAAATCTATTCTTCTTTAGTTTAAATCCGTCGCTAAGGTTGGAAAGGATCTCTAAGATCATCAGCCCAACCATCAACCCAACACCCCCATGCCCACCAAACCATGGCCCAAAATGCCACCTCTGCCCGTTTTTTGAACCCCTCCAGGGATGGGGACTCCACCACCTCTCTGGGCAGCCTGTTCCAATGCTTGACCACTTTTTCAGTAAAGAAATTTTTCCAAATATCCAATCTAAACCTCCCTGACGCAACTTGAGCCCATTTCCTCTCATCCTATTGCTAACTACTTGGGAGAAGAGACCGACTGCCCCCTCCCTGCCCCCTCCTGTCAGGAGCTGCAGAGAGCGATAAGGTTTCCCCTCAGCCTCCTCTTCTCCAGACTAAACAACCCCAGCTCCCTCAGATGAAATCTCTCTGCTGGGCTCTGGCATCTGGTGCTGTTGGCTTCCTCCTCCACAAACTCAATGAGAAACACAGACTGCCTGATCTACTGAGAGCGGAGAGCCAAGAGTCGCAGGCTTCTCTGCCACATACTCCTTGCACGGCCTCAGCAAGTTGCGTATATGTGTCTGCATCCCTCCCTGAACCACTGCAGTGATTTCACTTCTCCCAGAGGCACACTACGATATTATCTAGAGCCCTGTAAGACCAGAGGGGTATAGGATTTCCAGTGCTGCAGAGAACCAGCCTCCCTCGTTTTAACTTTAATATCTGGAAGCAAGTCTCAACACAAAATTCTCCTTCTCTCCCCAGCATAAGCACAACTAACACCTTTCAAGGCTGGCCATGCTGCAACAGAGTCTATAACCCAATGCAGGCAAACACGCCGAGGTGTTTAAACTGTACGGGAGGGACTCAAAAAAACAGGGCACAGGAAGATTTATCCCTGGGAGACAGCAGCTGGGGAGTTAAGACTGGGCAGAGGTAACAGTCTGCTCAGAAACATTTTCCCACCCTATTCTATGGCCCTGAAAAACATACAGATGAATCAACGCAGGGGGAACCCCCATCGCTTCCGAGCAAGACGCTGATTACCTCTAACTGCTTAACGGCAAAGGAAGGCGGTCGCTCACCAAGATGTCTATGGACGGAGGCTGCACGGAGATGTAGATGGGGTTCAGGTCTGTCCTCTTGATGTTCTTCACGCCCTGGATGTCGATGTCGAGGATGCAGATCTGGTTCTGGGCCTGAACGGCCTGCACTGCACCTTTACTGGGGTCAGAGCAAAGAGGGAAGGGGTCAGAGCGTCCAGCCACAGCAGTGGACATTTGGGGTGCCCCCTCCAGCAGCAGGTCTTCACCTCACAGGGCTCCCCTGTGCCCAAACTGTGGCAGGAGAGAAGAGACAGCCTGCTCCGCTCCTGCTAAACAGTTTCTCTTTCCCCAAGTGTCCTCTGGGTCCCTGGGGTGGAGCAGGGACCTGCTGTCTCCTGCTAGAGAGGCTGGCAAAACCACGACGGAAGGTGTGGAAATGGATAGCGTACGACTGTCCCATGAGCAGTGTGAATCAGGTATGGTCCGTGAAGCTCCGGCCTTTGACAAACACAGGAGCAACCTTCACCAAAGCGCAAAAACACTGAGAACTTTCCTTCTCCACAGATCCACTGATTTCCGTACCCATGCACTCTCCTGAAGGACACTTGATGGAGATGGATCATAGAATCGTAGAATCGTTTAGGTTGGAAAAGACCTTTAAGATCATCCAGTCCAACCATTAACCTGACACTACCAAGTCCACCACTAAGCCAGTTAAGGGTAGAGTAAGAATTTCATGTTTCCTGGCTTGGGGGCTGGATTATTTTTTAATGAAAGTAAAACTAAGAATCATTAAGGTTGGAAAGGAGCTCTAAGATCATCAGTCCAACCATCAACCCAACACCCCCATGCCCACTAAACCATGTCCCAAAGTGCCACCTCTGCCTGTTTTTTGAACACTTCCAGGGATGTTCCTGCCTGGCTCGCAAGATGCATAATTAAGGAAATATTTTTTAAGTGGCGGTTCTCATATGTCGTTAAAGACAGTATCTCTTTCCCAACATGGGGGAATTACCTCCAGCTTGTTCCTGAATACCTACAATTCTCCCTTGAGAAGCAGCAATGCCAACCCTCTCCTGGAGCACTGGAGGTACCTGGACTAGTTACTGGGCAGCAGGCCTCTTGGGAGACTTTTCAGTCAGTATTTGCACAGAGCTGGGCACAGATTCTCCTTCCAGCCAGGGCTCCGTGGCAAGATGGACAGTGCAGAGAGGAGCCCTGCCAGAAGCTCAGAGGTGGCACTGCAAGTTTTGAGATCGTGAAGTCAGGAGGTCATGCAATGGAAGCAGAGATTAAGAGAAAACGCTGCCCTGTAGCCAGCCTCCAACTTGCTCGATTCCCTGCCCCTACCCAGGGCACCTCTTTGGACTTCACCTTGTCACCCTGCACCACCCAGGTTTTGCTCCCCAATGCCTTCTGCAAAGATGTCTAAGGGAGTCTGTTTTCAGCACAAATGCTCTTGCATTGTCCTACACCCCAGGAAAGGGGAGTCACAGCTCCAGCGAAACAGGATTCGGGACCCCCAGCCCTCCTGCCACAGCTCTCACCAGCCCCGCTCCTGGCTGCGCCAGCTGCAGAATCATAGAATAGAATCATAGAATCGTTGAGGTTGGAAAAGACCTTTAAGATCATCCAGTCCAACCATTGACCTAACACTACCAAGAATAGAATAGAATAGAATCACAGAATTGTTTAGGTTGGAAAAGACCTTTAAGATCATCCAGTCCAACCACTGACCTAACACTACCAAGAAGACAGGGTGGGTCTTCACCGGCATAGGGGGAAAGCACCCATGGGTGTCATGCAGCAGCTGCCTGCGCCCACGGTGCTGCTGTTGGGAGCGTGCGAGCAGAGGAAGGTGCGAGAGCACAGACGGAGAGTCCTGAACACACGGGTACCACCGCTGCACGACAGCTCGCTGCAAACGCAGCCAGAGAGGACAGAGGCGGGACAAGCAGAAGGTGATGCTCGGAGAAATAGGGAGCAGAGCCAAGATGGGGAAAGCTGTAAAGAATTCTGGGAGCCTGCAAGCCCAGAAAAGCCCCGGCAAACAGAGACGAGCAACGGAGCAGCCTGACACAGCGGCGCTGTGAGCTCCTCACACCGGACGGCGGGGAAGAGCAGGCAGCCAGGCAGCCTTGGGGTCCCGCAGCCGGTCTGGTCAGCACAACAGGGTCTACTGTCTGCAGAGACTGATGGGGTCACGCAGGAGGATGGAGGTGGCTGGTGACTTTCATCCTGACCCGGGAGTCCCACAACACAGGTCACAAACCCCAATAGGAAGGGGAAAGCTGAAGCGAAGCTGCGAGACCAGCACTGTGCCTTATACGCAAATACAGATTTGCTGTCTTGCCCGGGGGGGGAGAAGCAAGATTCTAGATCATAGAATGCTTTGGGCTGGAAGGGACCTTTAGAGCCCACCCAGCCCAGCCCCTGCAGTGCCAGGGACAGCTTTAACCAGCCCAGGGTGCTCAGAGCCCCGTCCAGCCTGGCCTGGGATGTTTCCAGGGATGGGACCTCCGCCGCCTCTCTGGGCAACCTGTGCCAGTGCTTCACCAGCCTCAGTGTAAAACATTTCTTCCTTATGTCTAGTCTAAATCTATTCTTCTTTAGTTTAAATCCATTATTCCTTGTCCTGTCACAACAGGCCTTGCTAAAATCTGAGCACCATCCACCACAAATCCACAAAAACTCCCCCAAACGGCTTCATTTGCCTTGCGAAAGCCACATGTTTCATCTGGTATCACAGGGTATCAACCAACTCCCGCTGCAACCGATCTACAAAGAGCCAGCAGCTCTCAGAGCCCTGAGAAGGATACTCCATGCCTGCACTCTGATTTCAGCCTCTAATTTAAAGAGCTTCAAAGAAATTCTCATTTCTGTGGGTAGGATTGTGCTATTCCACAGACAGGGCCCTTCCAGGGCTCTTAAATTAAGCAATTCATTTTCAGTTGTTCATTGTTATTAGCTGATGAGATTTAGGGAACAGAAAAGATTGGCGAAAACTTCAACTATTCTGATAAGCATGAGGGACTCTCTCTATTTTATCACACATCTGGTTAGAAACATCCTTAGGGACTTGCACAGGAAACACAGGCTTGGAGAGTGTCCTGGTTTCGGCTGGGACAGAGTTAATTTTCTTCCTAGTAGCTGGCATAGTGCTGTGGTTTGGATTTAGGATGAGAATAATGCTGATAACACACTGATGGTTTAGTTGTTGCTCAGTACTGCTTATGCCAGTCAAGGACTTTTCAGCTTCCCATGCTCTGCCAGGGGCACAAGGAGCTGGGAGGGGGCACAGCCAGGACAGTTGATCCAAACTGGCCCAAGGGCCATTCCATACCATACGGCGTCATGGGCAGTATAGAAACTGGGGGGGGGGTTGGCAGGGGGGGGCGG